ATCATCAGGTTCAAAGACCCCCCAGTAAAAGGAGTGTTCACGGAACCATTCTTCCAGAAGTGTTCAAGGAATTATTCTTTCAGGAGTGTTCAAGGAACCATTCTTTCAGGAGTGTTCAAGGAACCATTCTTTCAGGAGTGTTCAAGGAACCATTCTTTCAGAAGTGTTCAAGTAACCATTCTTTCAGGAGTGTTCAAGGAACCCATTCTTTCAGGAGTGTTCAAGGAACCATTCTTCCAGGAGTGTTCAAGGAACCCATTCTTTCAGGAGTGTTCAAGGAACCCATTCTTTCAGGAGTGTTCAAGGAACCCATTCTTCCAGGAGTGTTCGAGGAACCATTCTTCTAGGAGTGTTCGAGGAACCTTTCTTCCAGGAGTGTTCGAGGAACCATTCTTCTAGGAGTGTTCGAGGAACCATTCTTCCAGGAGTGTTCGAGGAACCATTCTTCTAGGAGTGTCCAAGGAACCCTTTCTTCCAGGAGTGTTCAAGGAACCCTTTCTTCCAGGAGTGTTCAAGGAACCCTTTCTTCCAGGAGTGTTCGAGGAACCATTCTTCTAGGAGTGTCCAAGGAACCCTTTCTTCCAGGAGTGTTCAAGGAACCCTTTCTTCCAGGAGTGTTCAAGGAACCTTTCTTCCAGGAGTGTTCGAGGAACCATTCTTCTAGGAGTGTCCAAGGAACCTTTCTTCCAGGAGTGTTCGAGGAACCATTCGTCCAGGAGTGTTCAAGGAACCCTTTCTTCCAGGAGTGTTCAAGGAACCCTTTCTTCCAGGAGTGTTCAAGGAACCCATTCTTCCAGGAGTGTTCGAGGAACCATTCTTCCAGGAGTGTTCAAGGAACCTTTCTTCCAGGAGTGTTCAAGGAACCCTTTCTTCCAGGAGTGTTCAAGGAACCTTTCTTCCAGGAGTGTTCGAGGAACCATTCTTCCAGGAGTGTTCGAGGAACCATTCTTCCAGGAGTGTTCGAGGAACCATTCTTCCAGGAGTGTTCGAGGAACCATTCTTCCAGGAGTGTTCGAGGAACCATTCTTCCAGGAGTGTCCAAGGAACCCATTCTTCTAGGAGTGTCCAAGGAACCCATTCTTCTAGGAGTTTCCAAGGAACCCATTCTTCTAGGAGTGTCCAATGAACCCATTCTTCTAGGAGTGTTCGATGAACCCATTCTTCTAGGAGTGTCCAAGGAACCCATTCTTCTAGGAGTGTCCTAGGAACCCATACTTCCAGGAGTGATTGAGGAACAATTCTTCCAGGAGTGTTCAAGGAACCCATTCTTCCAGGAGTGTTCGAGGAACAATTCTTCCAGGAGTGTTCAAGGAACCCATTCTTCCAGGAGTGTTCAAGGAACCCATTCTTCCAGGAGTGTTCAAGGAACCCATTCTTCCAGGAGTGTTCAAGGAACCCATTCTTCCAGGAGTGTTCAAGGAACCCATTCTTCCAGGAGTGTTCAAGGAACCCATTCTTCCAGGAGTGTTCGAGGAACAATTCTTCCAGGAGTGTTCAAGGAACCTTTCTTCCAGGAGTGTTCGAGGAACAATTCTTCCAGGAGTGTTCGAGGAACAATTCTTCCAGGAGTGTTCAAGGAACAATTCTTCCAGGAGTGTTCAAGGATTGTTCTAGGATCATTCTTCCAATCGAAATTTTTTTTCACCATCTGAAGTGCTAAAAAACACGTGTCAATTATTACGACACTGATGTCTATTACACAACACAGGAACCTTTTCAATGAACAAGAATTTCAAAATTCAAAATAATACCCAGGAAGTGTTTGAAAATCTTGCATTTCCCGGAAACAAAACATTATGTTTTGCGGAGGTACAGAGAAGGGTTGTATCGTGAAACTATCCGTTCTGTTCTTACTGTGCAACATTATTCTTGATGTGTTTTGCGGGTTGAGGGGAACTGAGACAAAGCATCTACACGGAAAAAACCTGGCTGGTGCATTTGCTATAAACTACGGATAGAACAATATCCGACATCTTACTGAGGATTTGAACCCGGTTTTCTGAAACGAAAGATTGCCATTTAACGACTCTTCCAGATTTGCCAGCTGATGAAATAAATAAAATAAGAGACAAATGAAATTTTTTGGCCACATTCGAAAAGAGTACTTTTACAAAAATTCACGCTGGGTGAAACAGTTGACCAGATGAGCTGATAATTGATATCACAGCATTAGGGACATTTCCATAGACACTTTGTCCTAGTGTTCAGCAGCCATTCAAGAGTTACAATACCAATGGTACTGGTGGCAGTTTAACTACATGTTTGCCCAGCCTTTACCCTGATGTCGGCTAAGTCTTCTGTCACACCCCAGTGCACCAGTCTCAGTTTGATACTTTAAAACCTACGGCAAAGTTTCAGGGCAGAAGTGGAAACTGATGATGATAATCATGATTTCTATAGGACATACTTATTAAAACTGGGAAACCATTTGCAGTGAACTTCTAGTTAAGATCCGCGGTTCAAGTTACATAAGGTAAATTGCGACTTATCGTGAGGCCTATGTGACGAACTAGCTTTATTTTCAAAGGGTCACAAATTGGGCACGCAAGCCTGTCTTACATTCGGCCCTTCCAAACACCCGTCTTTCACACTGCAGCTGTATTTTATCAATAAGCATGTTATATTTATATAACATTGCATATTGTGAATATCAACAAAACAAAACAAAAATCACAATAGCATGGGTGATAAAAAGCACGCACACACACACACACACACACACCCACCCACAAAACTTCACACACACATATAGACACCCTATTCTCCCATATTCATACCTACATGCCCACACAGACACACACATTTCATACACATACAAATATACATATATTCACAAACAGACACACCCATAAAAACAAATGCAGACACAGACACACAGACATACGCACACATACCAAATCACACACGCATATATATACACACACACACACACACACACACACACACACACACACACATGTGAGACGAAGCTCAGGCACTTCCCTCAACCCCGAGTCTCACAAACTGTTTAGGCAAGGTCTATGGAGCTCATATGCTAAGTTCTAGTTTAAGAGAATAATAATAATGTGATAGCAAATAAATCTAATATTTAAACTAATATTGTCTGCATTTGAAAGAGTGTTTCCATATCTAAATAAAAGGAGACGGTTAAGCCTGCTGACAATGTTAGGCTGGGTGTGGGGTGGGAGCTCCAGTAATCTGAACGGCCAGGTATCGATGCCCTCTTGCTACACAAGATTAACATTTGGTCATTTCTTCAGTAACTTGTGTAGTTTGTATCTGATCGCAACCACATACTGTGACAATCTAGATTTATTTGTGTCTTAGAGGTTAAGCGTTTTGAAGAAATGTGCTTTGTAAACATAATCTAGATCATACCCAGAGCGGTGGGACAGGGATTAGGGGGAGGGGGGGGGGTAGAAAGGGATTCGGGGTGGGAGGGTAGGAGGGTGGGAGGTAGGAGGGGATTCCGGTGGTGGCCAGGGAGATCGGGGTTGGGGCGGTCTAAACATAAAGTGACACTACTTAACAACGAATGTGCCCTTACCTGGCATTATTCACAGTCCCACATCGGCGCCTCGTTGAGTCGATTTACGTTTCAGATCCCCCCCCCCCCCCTCTGTTCACTCCTTCAGGCGCATTGGGCATATGGAAAGAGCATTGGTAAGCATACAATTTCGTGCACGAAAGTAAACCCTTGTCCTTGATTTCTGGCACATCATGTGACGTCAGAGAACTGTGTGTGTTCAGGGAGCAGTGACGTTTCCACGAAAACGTACAAACTTTGCTCTAAAATTTGCTTTGATTCCTCCTCATACAACCATGTTACCCCAGCTAAAGTTTAAGGTCTCGTGGATGCAGCAATGAGCCTGTCGCTCATGAGGACGTCTGTACACCCTGTTTCTTCCACCTGCCTTTGCATCATAAATCTGATCTTGTCTAGAAACATGACAAACTGTCATTGTCGTCGACGCCATCTTATGTGCACATGTCCAAGTCCTTTTGAGAAAAAAAAAATGAGAAGGTCGACCACTTTCAGACTGCTGCTAGCTAGCCGAGGCTACTAACAGCCTATACTTGTGGTCTGAATTATTTGCGTCACTTTCGTGACTAAATTCGAGTGTTTGCGCCATTTCTGGGCTTGATGCTTTCATCTGAATCAGACCGCTCGTCCTCCACCCTGTTGTTACTTGTGCATTTCTGCCCTCGTCTTACTTGGTGTTTCCAGTTTTGTGTTGTTTCCCTTTGATTTGGCCAGGCGTATTTCGTTAAAAAAAAAAAAAGGGGGGGGGGGGGGGCGCTTTTCCCACGCAACGTCCTTTGGACCACCATTTACAGTTTTAAAATTGTGAGTATTTTATTTTGCCAAAGTCTTTTATAGATGCGATGTGGCTGAAGTTGACAGCGTGGGCATACCCATAGTTAATAGTGAACGTGTGTTTTCTTGCCTCAATGAGCTTCAAAACAGTCTTTAGAGAAACCCGTCTGTTACTTGATGGTGCGTTTATGTGTCTGGTATCCTTTGAGAACATTGGAAACAGTTCTGCAAATGAACTGTGTGAATGAATAGGTACATAACTTTACACGGTCACCCTGGGTCTTTTTGATCTTGGTTGGTCTCTAGTGATACAGCAACCAGAGGCTGCTGGCGTTTGTTCTGCAACATCCTGTAAAGTTGGTTCTGCAACGTCCTGTAAAGTTGGTTCTGCAACATCCTGTAAAGTTGGTTCTGCAACATCCTGTAAAGTTGGTTCTGCAACATCCTGTAAAATTGGTTCTGCAACATCCTGTTAAGTTGGTTCTGCAACATCCTGTAAAGTTGGTTCTGCAACATCCTGTAAAGTTGGTTCTGCAACATCCTGTAAAGTTGGTTCCGCAACATCCTATAAAGTTGGTTCTGCAACGCCCTGTAAAGTTGGTTCTGCAACGTCCTGTAAAGTTGGTTCTGCAACGTCCTGTAAAGTTGGTTCTGCAACGTCCTGTAAAGTTGGTTCTGCAACATCCTGTAAAGTTGGTTCCGCAACGTCCTGTAAAGTTGGTTCTGCAACGCCCTGTAAAGTTGGTTCTGCAACGTCCTGTAAAGTTGGTTCTGCAACGTCCTGTAAAGTTGGTTCTGCAACGTCCTGTAAAGTTGGTTCTGCAACATCCTGTAAAGTTGGTTCTGCAACGTCCTGTAAAGTTGGTTCTGCAACGTCCTGTAAAGTTGGTTCTGCAACATCCTGTAAAGTTGGTTCTGCAACGTCCTGTAAAGTTGGTTCTGCAACGTCCTGTAAAGTTGGTTCTGCAACGTCCTGTAAAGTTGATTCTGCAACGACCTGTAAAGGATACGCAACTAATCTAGGTCTCTAGTGAGGCCAGTTACCCGGAAACGTTGTTGGAGTCGATGGACTGCTTGTTAATATGAGACATCAACTGTTGGCCCAACACTAACAATTCCTGTACCCGTATTAAGGTAGCCGATGATATTATGTCTTTCTCATTCTATGAGTTAGAATTGGTAAGGCAGCCGTTAATTCAGATGTAAAGACGGGAAATTTGATGAAAGGAGTCAGTCATTGCAAGCAGTGAAAACACCATTCACTTCAGGCTCATTTATAGGATATAAATGTGTACAAATCTTACCTTATATAACAGAACTGTGTGAACATATTCTTTGAGCAAAATGAGAAGCGATTACTGTCGACGGTTTTGCCCACTCTAAGAAATTATTATGTGAAAATTACTGAAGTAAGTAGTTCTCAAATTACACGCTTTTAAAAATTTCTAACGTTCTAACACATATACACGAACTCACACACACATAGATACGAACGCATACACGCATATATTAACACACACACTCACAAGTATGCACTCACACATACATACACTGTATTTAACACAGAACCATGGACCACTTGCAAACAACCAAAAATCCCACTGTCGCCAAATTGATGATTCTCCGTCAACAATTATAATGATTACTCCCAGGCGTAGTTCTCTTGTACAGCAATGCCTGTGCAACTGGGAATCGCCGACAGCCCAGGAGAGCTATCGTATGTGCTGACGTGTGATGGAGCATCTGCTACCAACGGCTCAGATTCCAACGTAATTTAGTGTGGATCGGGGACCTATCCGCTGTACCGGTCAGGTGGATGAAATAGCACAGTCAGCTTTACCAAGTATAGCTTTATCTCTTTCTGTCGATTGACCTTGAGCTTAAAGACAATAAAAACGTAGACCTGATGTAGTTTAACAAAGACGATGTGAGACAGAAGTATTTAAACCATTAACACAGATGCAAAGTGTTCACATGACATATGCCCTTGACATCACAGTGTTGTTAATGACCAACACGAGTAGAATAAGGTCTTTGAGAGTGAGACAGGGAATAAGGTCTTTGAGAGTGAGACAGAGAATAAGGTCTTTGAGAGTGAGACAGAGAATACGGTCTTTGAGAGTGAGACAGAGAATAAGGTCTTTGAGAGTGAGACAGAGAATAAGGTCTTTGAGAGTGAGACAGAGAGCCAGTCTATTGCCACCTGGCTGAAATCTTGGATTCTGTTCCTTCCTTTAAATGAGTGTGCTCTGACGAATCTCTCTTGGCAGCACACAGATAGAGAAACTAGATCTGATCAAATGAGGCCATGTACATCATACCTGGAAGCTCAAAGAATACGGCTTGCAGGACGATTTTTGCCTCCTTGGAACAAAGCAGGTCACGTTCCACGCATAAGTTTTTTTTTGGCTAGTCTACTATTCTGAAGGTTACGGGTGTGCCGCTATGTTGTTTGCTTTCCGGGTTGTCTTGCATTTACGTTTTTTTTTTCGAGAAAGAGAATGCCCGTGATATAGGTTTCATCACTCTCTAATGGGGTTTTGGGGAAAACTATCGTTAGTCTTCGAATTTACACATTGTTACACACTAGCTTACTTCTGATTGGTTGACAAAACCCCTTAAGGGAGTGATGAAACCTATGTCACATGCATGTTGCTGGCTGAGACTGAAGGTGAAGCTGTAATTCTAGAGTATTCTGCAGTTATTTACACTGACGGATCGGTTGTTCGACGCGTACAGAGCTTGTAGGCTTTTACTATTCTGGTTTAAGGGGGAAGTGCTAAAGAAAATTGGGGAGCTTTTGCCTCAACAACAACTTAATTTCTGGAACAAGATCAAAGTACAGAAATCGACGAACAACCAGAACTCTCTGGCAGAGTTTACAGTGTGAGGTCAGGACAGATGTGGCGTTTAGAAAGGGTGACATCAAGACAGATGTGATATCCTAAAGGTGTGAGGTCTGGACATGTGTGGTATTAGAAGTGTGAGGTCTGGACATGTGTGGTATTAGAAGTGTGAGGTCTGAACATGTGTGGCATTAGAAGTATGAGGTCTGGACATGTGTGGCATTAGAAGTGTGAGGTCTGAACATGTGTGGTATTAGAAGTGTGAGGTCTGGACATGTGTGGTATTAGAAGTGTGAGGTATGGACATGTGTGGTATTAGAAGTGTGAGGTCTGGACATGTGTGGCATTAGAAGTGTGAGGTCTGGAAATGTGTGGCATTGGAAGTGTGAGGCCTGGACATTGTGTGGCATTAGAAGTGTGAGGTCTGGACATGTGTGGTATTAGAAGTGTGAGGTCAGGACATGTGTGGCATAGGGAAAGTGTGAGGTCAGGACATGTGTGGCATTGGAAGTGTGAGGTCTGGACATGTGTGGTATTGGAAGTGTGAGGTCTGGACATGTGTGGTATTAGAAGTGTGAGGTCTGGACATGTGTGGTATTAGAAGTGTGAGGTCTGGACATGTGTGGTATAAGAAGTGTGATGTCTGGACATGTGTGGTATTAGAAGTGTGAGGTCTGGACATGTGTGGTATTAGAAGAGTGTGAGGTCTGGACATGTGTGGTATTAGAAGTGTGAGGTTTGGACATGTGTGGCATTAGAAGTGTGAGGTCTGGACATGTGTGGTATTAGAAGTGTGAGGTCTGGACATGTGTGGCATTAGAAGTGTGAGGTCTGGACATGTGTGGTATTAGAAGTGTGAGGTCTGGACAATGTGTGGCATTGGAAGTGTGAGGTATGGACATGTGTGGCATTAGAAGTATGAGGTCTGGACATGTGTGGCATTAGAAGTGTGAGGTCTGGACAATGTGTGGCATTGGAAGTGTGAGGTCTGGACATGTATGGCATTGGGAAGGTGTGAGGTCTGGACATGTGTGGCATCGGGAAGGTGTGAGGTCTGGACATGTATGGCATCGGGAAGGTGTGAGGTCTGGACATTTGTGGCATCGGGAAGATGTGAGGTCTGGACATGTATGGCATCGGGAAGGTGTGAGGTCTGGACATGTATGGCATCGGGAAGGTGTGAGGTCTGGACATGTGTGGCATTAGAAGTGTGAGGTCTGGACATTTGTGGCATCGGGAAGGTGTGAGGTCTGGACATGTGTGGCATCGGGAAGGTGTGAGGTCTGGACATGTGTGGCATCGGGAAGGTGTGAGGTCTGGACATGTGTGGCATTAGAAGTGTGAGGTCTGGACATTTGTGGCATCGGGAAGGTGTGAGGTCTGGACATGTGTGGCATTAGAAGTGTGAGGTCTGGACATGTGTGGCATTAGAAGTGTGAGGTCTGGACATGTGTGGCATTAGAAGTGTGAGGTCTGGACATGTGTGGCATTAGAAGTGTGAGGTCTGGACATGTGTGGCATTAGAAGTGTGAGGTCTGGACAGGAGTTGTATGTGGGGAGCGTGAGTCAGAACAATTAGCATGTAATACAAAACACACACGTATACACGCACATGCACGTTCACACACACACACACACACAGAGAGAGAGAGAGAGAGAGAGAGAGAGAGAGAGAGAGAGAGGCAGAGAGAGAGACACACACACATAGACAGAGAGAGATAGGGCTCACAGTGTTTTTCCACTCCGTTATATCGTGTGCAATCAACTCAGTATCATGGATGGAATCTGGTCTACAACTTGTGCCCTCTGTCAGCAACCTACGTTCGTTTTAATGTTTTCTTTGGCCGTCCTCGCCTCCTTCTTCCCTTAATTTCCCATGCCAGTGGCTGAGTGATGATTCTCTGCTGGTTTCTTCCACGATGTGTCCGATAACTCTTCTCTGTCTTATAACTCTTGTTACTAGTGGCCCAGATGTGTCTCTTAGTTGACCACCCTTCTTGAATTTATCGAATTTTATTTTCAACATGTGTCTCTGGCGTTTATTTTCAAATACATTTTACTTTTGTTCCCTGTCTTTGCTGGAACTGAGAGAGTTAAATTATCCTGGGCTTTCACTGAGACCTAGTCTAAGACAAGTAAAAGGAAATATCTTTGGAAGCAAAGCTGACGTGGTATTGATTGACCACTAGACTGATCGAGGGACTAATGTCTAAAATATTGATCTAGAACTTGATGCCAACTACGACACAAAGTGGGAAAGTGATTGTTAATGTAGTTCCTATACATGATTTTACCGAGCAACTTGCTACAAATCACAGAAAACCCCGTCACCTGCATGATTATATTGGGGTTCCTGAAGTAACCTAAAGCCCAGACGGGGTAGGGCTGAAAGTCGGACTCCTCACCTTCCCAGTTGTTGGTCTTCTTTAATATAGACGCCGTATGGAATCTCCAGGAAAGTCCGTGTGAGTTACTACGGACACAAACATTGAACCGAAAGCTGCGGCGGCACATGCAGAAACAACAAACATATTGACCGAACCAGAAAAGAACAACGCCATGTGTGCATCATCTTCGATCTTACCGGAAAAAATGAAGGACAGTGAGTACTATGTCCTCAAGGTTGCTGTCATAGATCAGCATTAACTGATGACGTATGATAGCAAACATTGCATCCCCATCAGACCCCTCTCTGTACCCGAAAGTGCACGCATGAGCAAATGTAATTTCAACGTGTAATTAACCATAACCCGTGATTCAAGAACGGAGTCTGCTGATAATTACAGGAGAATATGTCAGTAATGATGGCACAAGGCACTGGGCACCAGAAGACATCGATTTCTTCAGGAGAAGCCCGTATTCAAGTTGGCCCAAGCGAGACGATACACGGCGCTACTCTGATTATGTGGTAAGCTTTCTCCGAGTGTAGCACCGGAAGGACGAGGTAATTACATTGAAAATAAACTGAATTCTGCCACTCTTGGCATTCCGTCAGCGGTTTGAAAGCTGTAGAAGAGCTCAGCGTAGATTTGCTCATTGAATTAACAAAATGGGCCACACAAGAAAGCTGCTTTGATAAGCCACGAGAACAAATGGAGGGTTTTAGAAACGAGCTCTTTGTCTTTGCTCGGGAAATTCTGCTTTACAGATTTCTTTTCCAGTGAGCACATTATAAAACAGGAATGGAAATGTGGCCTTTGAATCCGGATTGAGAAAATCATTCTTCCATTCGCTCAAAAACAAATGGCTTTCCAGGTGCTTAGACGTAGACTAGAATGCGTGCCCACTCTAAGTCATTATGCAAACAAGAAGATGTATTGTGTGGACGTTTGTTTGGCTTGCTTGACATGACTAGTGCACAATGGGGCATAATATTCCTGAGTGTATGGTACTGTTCGACTGGCGCATAAATCCCTGCACAAACATGGGCGGATTCTGGGGCAGCAATGTGCGGGAGGGAGAAAGAAGGAGTAACAGCAGGTAGAGAGGCATTCGAATAAAGATGGAGAACAAGACAGACTGATTAGATTTACAAACAGACAGACGAACGGACGAAGAGACAGACAGACAGACAGACAGACAGACAGACAGACAGACAGACAGACAGACAGACAGACAGACAGACAGACAGACAGACAGACAGACAGAGGGGTGGACAATATTTGCGTGTACACTACGGCATGCTATCACAATTCCATAAACTTGCCCACCTTTGTCTTATACTCCCTATCATCGTCCCAAAGCTGGCTCTTCTCTAGAGCCTTGCTCGCCACTAGGTCCCATCCGCTTTCTTGCCTCCTTATATTAAGAACTTCAGTGAAATCTGGCTAAAACGCTTCACCAAATGGGGAAGCAAAAAAACGTACACAAAACAACATAAATAAAGTTTTGGCATGCAGCCTTTGTCAAACATAGGTGAACTACAGAAAGGCAACAACGAGGAGAGTATTCGGGTCTCCAAGGGGTGGCGTGAGCAATGTTGTAAGAAATGTGATGTGGAATGAATCAAATAAAATAAAATAAACGAAGGCTACAAATATATATAGTGGTCCAAAAAAAGTTATATTGTTAATATATAATATAATAGTAGGAATAAAAGAAATACAAATGTTAATTATACATAAATGATATTGATAATGATATTGATAGTGATACTGATCGCCACTTCTAACGACCCCATAACATCCCCAACTGGCCCTAACTCAAACCCCCTAGGGGAAAGATTCAGCCTAGGTCCCACAAGAGAGTGCATTCTACGTCCCGCCGTTTCAGACTTCATTATATTTTGCGGTCGCTCCCAAAACGCTTTGTTACTTCAGGAAAGCAACGGCCTCCTTCCTCCTTGTCGCCCGCCACCATACAAAACAAAAGAACCTGACAACCCTACGACATATAGTCGGGCGCTTGAAAGGTCAGGACGGATGAATGAACAGCCAATTACAACGTGGTTGGGCCCGAGTTAGTGAGTTGTTCCGAACGTTCTTCGCAATATTCCAGCACGTGATCTTCTCGGCGAACAGATTATGGGAATAGAATGCTTGCTATATCAACCAATCAGCTGATGAACCTTAACGCACACAGAATGAAGCATGCGAGTCATTGTGGTATGCACGAAAAGATACACTATTATGTTGGAAACACATTCTTGCACATTGATGGGAAAGATCTAAGAATAATAAAAAATATGTATTGGCAGCAAACAGCAGCTATAAGAATTAACAACTGTTTAGGTACATTTCAAAGCATAAAGAGGGGCGTACGACAAGGATATGTACTGTCACCTGATTTGTTTTCACTATACAGTGAATATATAATGAGAGCTTTAATTGGTATGCCCGGAATTGTGGTTGGTGGGCACAATATAAATAATTTAAGTTATGCTGATGACAGTCTTGATAGCAACAAGTCAGAAAGAACTACAGGAAATGATAGACATTGTGGTGTTAGAAAGTGGAAGAATGGGCCTCAGTTTGAATAATGGGAAGACAGAAGTAATGGTGGTATCAAAGAAACGAATTATTCCTAAGTGTGTAATAAAAGTTGATGGTGTTATTTTAGGACAAGTACAGGAATTTAAGTATCTGGGCACATGGATAACATCAGATGGAAGATGCATAACTGAGATAAGAAACAGAATAGGACAGGCAAAAACTGCATTTTATAAAATGAAAAACATCTTGTGCAATATATCCTTGTCATTGAGAGTTAGAAAAATAATTCTTGCTTGCTACATACATCCAGTTTTAACATATGGCTGTGAATCCTGGACAATAGGTAGGTAGGCAGGCCAAACAATTCCTGGAGGCCTCGGAGAGGTGGTTTTACAGAAAAATGCTTAGAATACCTTGGACAGCCAAAAATAGCAACCAAGAGGTTTTGAAAGAGGCGGGAGCCCAAAGACAACTTATCACAGACATCAGAAGGAGGCAGTCATCTTTTTTCGGCCATGTTATGAGAAGAGGGAAAATAGAACATGTTGTGACCACTGGAAAGATCTGTGAAAGCAGAGATAGAGGTAGACAACGAGAGAAGATGCTTGACAGTCTTGTTGCATGGCATGGAGGTGTGTCGGCACACGAAGTGATACATGCTGCAGGAGATCGCAGATTATGGAGAGGCATGATCGTCCTCGTCAGTCGGCAAGGCACCTGATGATGGTGATGACATACTTGCACTGTCGACAATTGCCGATGGGCTCCAAGTGCTGCAAGCCAGGAACTTCCTCAGAGTAGTAGCAGACCAGAAACACTGCCCTACAAGGTGTTCTAGGTATAGCGACATTATATAGCTACATCAGTGACAGCGCTCACATTACATTATATAGCTACATCAGTGACAGCGCTCACATTACATTATATAGCTACATCAGTGACAGCGCTCACATTACATTATATAGCTACATCAGTGACAGCGCTCACATTACATTATATAGCTACATCAGTGACAGCGCTCACATTACATTATATAGCTACATCAGTGACAGCGCTCACATTACATTATATAGCTACATCAGTGACAGCGCTCACATTACATTATATAGCTACATCAGTGACAGCGCTCACATTACATTATATAGCTACATCAGTGACAGCGCTCACATTACATTATATAGCTACATCAGTGACAGCGCTCACATTACATTATATAGCTACATCAGTGACAGCGCTCACATTACATTATATAGCTACATCAGTGACAGTTTTCACCTTACATTACATAACTACATCAGTGGCAGTTCATTAATTACATTATATTGCTACATCAGTGATAGTTCTTACATTATATAATATAGCTACATCAGTGAAAGTTCTCCCATCACATTATATAGCTAGAGCAGTGAAAGTTCTCACATTACATTATACAGCTACATCAGTGACAGTTCACACAATACATTATATGGCTACATCAGTGACAGTTCACACATTACATTATATGGCTACATCAGTGACAGTTCTCACATTACATTATACAGTTACATCAGTGACAGTTCTCACATTACATTATACAGTTACATCAGTGACAGTTCTCACATTACATAATACAGTTACATCAGTGACAGTTCTCACATTACATAATACAGTTACATCAGTGACAGTTCTCACATTACATTATATAGCTACATCAGTGACAGTTCCTTCATTACATTATATGGCTACATCAGTGACAGTTCTCACATTACATTATATTCCTACATCAGTGACAGTTCTCACATTACATAATTAAACTGCTCTAGTGACAGTCGCTACATAGTGTACCAATATTATTTCAGTAACAGCTGTGACGTCATATAAAACAATTGTCAACAACTGTCATATCTCAACATTTCGAACGTGCTATTTTCTCCTAACCTACAACCACTCCACTCACACACTAACAATACAGACAACAATGTTGATCTATACTATGTTATTCAAGCAGCCATATTGGATAATTCCACATGAAATAAACGTTAGCGGCTGCAATTATCTGTGTTTTTGTGTTATCATCATCGATCGTACACCTTTCAGTAACAACATATAACTGACAGATCCATCCACCAACGGTTTCAGGGGAAATAAGTCATGGAAAACAGTTTTTCTGTGCAATTAGGAAATAACAGTGAGTACGTTAATTTTTTTATTTTTTAAGGTTTTATAATGTTTAAAATTGTTTATTTATTTGTTTATTTTAATCGCCGTTTGCGTTCCATAATCATACTATTTTCCGATAAGTTAAAATTATGTCATTTTTGCATTCACAAGTTTTCTTGATGTCAGTGCAGTGTAGTGAAAAAGTGTTAAATTATTTGCTTTTCAGTGCTATTTTTAATTTTCAGTATTTTATGTGTCCAGTAAATAAAATATTTGTATCAAGCGAAATAATAATTCTAGAAAAAATTATTTTTAATTAAATTCTACTGAGGTATACCTTTTTTTCTGATAAAAAAAACAGAGTTCAGTTTTTTCAATATATATATATATATATATATATATATATATATATATATATATATATATATATATATATATATATATATATAGGTTCTTAATTTATAACCTACCCCAAACACGAAATCCCCGTGGGACATCCACAGCTGACCTGAGAGTCTATTATTTCAAGGAGTGGAAGTGTGCTGTTGTGTGGTGCTTTTTGTGTGTGTTCATCTGTGACGTTGACGCGTGGTTTAAATGTTTATGTTGTTGAGTAGGGATCTTCCTCTCAACACATTCCCTCCACCAGATTAACGGAACTATAATCTGAGCTATGTTGCTCTCAGACACAGTCCTGGATACCCAAGAAAACAACCATATTGGCTCGTTAAGTACTTTAACATTAGCTGCACTTGGTACCCACAAGAGAAGGCAAGGAATTTTAGATGTCTATCATACTTAATGAATAATTAGACCGGGCAAGTGATTCCTCCGTCATCTACCTTCTCCCGGTTTTATTATGAATAATTAAAGAATTATTATATTATTTGAGTCCCACCAAATGGTATTCTATCTTAACAGTTTACTTAAACATGTAAGAACAGACATTTGGAATTTAACAAACTATGTAGTTTAAAACTTGACATACAGCTTTATTTACTACAATGAAATTCCCAGTTTGTTGATTTACACAAACAGTGACTGGTTAACGTAAAGAGGTTTTAAGCGTCAGCGAGACAAACAGCTCGGGGTTTAGAGTGGTATGATAATGATGATAATAGGTTAACATAAAGGGGTTAACTCAACTTATAAGCCTCTGACAGCCGTGAGGAACTGTCAAGCTTGTCCAACTCTTCCTTGCCTGTTGTCTGCCTGTTTCAGCTTATTCTCCACTTCATCCCCACCTCGTTCTCCACCTGGTTCCCAGCTGGCCGAGTCTAACACAATGTAGGCTACTTCATGGACTGATCGTCACATGGGCGCTGTAATCATGGAAACAAAACACATACGTGTAGTATCTTGACTTACACTAAGAATACATGTATCAATTAATACAACATATAATAATAGGATATAGTAATA